TGTCTAACACTGGGAGGCTTTTAGCGCTACACTTTAGATCAATTAGGAAAACTTAGCTTGGAAGCTAAGAGAAGGAATGTTTAAGATGCCACTATCACTTGCATGTAACGGTCATCAGTCAGCTTTGCCTATAAATAGCCCTACATTGGAGGTAGCCCTAAAAAAGTCAATGCTTCAAGAAGAACTATATAAAAGTGTGTCAGAATATAGACAGACAGCAGAAGAGTGATCCACAAGGGTAAGCGTAAAAGCTGTTTGCAATATGACAGAGATGTTGAAAGATTAGGGTAAAATTGTAGGCATTAAGAGCTGGGGAATACTGCAACATGTTTCCTAAGAAACACTATTACTATGGAATGTGCAAGACAGCTGTGTCCATACATTTAGAAAGACAGGGAAACATGACATGCTGCCTGTTTGCTCACTCACTACTCAGTTAATACAGCTTTACGGTGTCTTTCAAGCAGAGATGGGTAAGCTTTCTCAACTTTGTCAACAAATCACTCATTCAACTTTTCAGCCCATTTCTGTTTCAAATTAGGAATGATCATATTTGGGCTATTATAAGGTTAACATTTTTGGGGAAAAAGTTTAGGGAAAAAGGCACCTTTTTGTGTTCCCACATACTTCTTTATACAGTACTTCTCACTAGGGATGCACCGATACCGATACCGGCCAATCATAAAGCTAGGGCGTCACGCCATTACACGGCTCTGGCTGGGTACCGGAGGAAGGCCGCGTTCTGGCTGGAGAGGCCCCGGGGGTGACAGGCTGGACATACCAAGGTAAGAGGGGACTTTTTTGTTAATCGGGAAGTCGGGTGGCGAGTCTTTAGACGCTGCCCGGCTTCCCAGCCAATCAGGAAGCCAGGTGGCGAGTCATTACACGCCACCCGGCTTCCTGAATTGGACTTCCGTTACTCTGTAATTGGTATCGTCGACTACCGGAAAAAAATTATCGGTACTCGGTACCAAAATACTGGTATCGGTGCATCCCTACTTCTCACCCATGGGCCTGAACACACATCTAGAAGTGTGTTGATATGAATATTATAAAAGAAATATGTAGTTTGCAGCAGCATTGCTGAACTACTGTTTTTGCTAACACTTGCGTCAGACAATTTTTTATTATGCCACCTGACTCAAATTGGACACGTGCCCAGACACTAGACATTAAAGTAGTTACATATTATTATCAAGCTGTAAAAGAACGTTAAAACAAGCACTCACTGACCTCTCTACCAGCATGCACTGTGATTTAATCATTCTCAAAGATCACAACTAAAACTTTAAAGTTGGGTTTTAGGGCTAGTTCACACCAGATGCAGTTGTAATGCAGACCTTTCAGTTTGGTTGCTGCAGCCAAAATACATCCCAATGCTTTCCTATGGGATTTCTGGTGCTCTATTCACACCAGTGCAGTCCTTTCCAATGCAATCAGAAAAAATACTGCTTGCCCTATTTTAGCTGCATCGGACTGCACCGGAATGCAGCAAAACACATGCAAATGCACTGGAACGGACCTGAAATTCCATTTTACGCAAAAAAAAAACAAAAAATGCATCAATCGTGGCAAATTGCATTGCAGCTGCGCAGACGCATGCAGTTCTGGTGTGAACTGGCCCTTAGTCAGTTTCACAGCTGTTTGTACACAAAAGAGGGGTTGCAGGCTGACAAGATTCTGGTCTCCATAGAAAGTAAAGGGGAAAGTAGCTGTAAAGGATTTCAGTGCCTGTGTTGTAAGGTTTGAAGATGCATTTCACAATGCCTATAGCTAAGAGAACAAGGGCTTGTGTTAAAGTGCTTTTACTGACTTGGTACATGTTGACATTTTTTTCATGTATGTTTTCCCGTATTTCCAGTGTCATTCCTTCCATTTCCCAATTGTGGGTTGATTTTTCCTTTCAGTTGCGTTGTGTTAATGTGAATTTTACAAGAGTTCATGTGCATTGCATTGTGGAAAAATGCAGACATGCTGCATTCTTCTGTACCTTCCACTCCACACCTTTCTATTCAGTTTTGGTGTGAACAGGGCACATACAAAAACAGTGTTCTGTGAAGGCGTCCACAAGGTTTAGGAGTGTGTCTATGGGAATGTTTGACCAATTTTCCAGAAGTGCATTTATGAGGTCAGGTACTGATGTTGGACGAGAAGGCCGGGCTCACAGTCTCCGCTCTAATTCATACCAAAGGTGTTCTAACGAGTTGAGGTCAGGACTCTGTGCAGGCTAGTCAAGTTCCTCCACCCGAAACTTGCTCATCCATGTCTTTATGGAGCTTGCTTTTTGCACTGGTGCGCAGTCATGTTGGAACAAGAAAACCCATTCCATGAAGCTCTCTACGCACTGTTGTTGTGCCAATCTGAAGGCCACACGAAGTTTGGAGGTCTGTAGCTATTGACTCTGCAGACAGTTGCCAACTTCTGCGCACTGTGCACTTCACCATGCGCTGACCCTGTTCTGTCATTTTACGTGGCCTACTACTTCGTGGCTGAGTTGCTCCCAGTTACTTCCACTTTGTTATAATACCGCTAACAGCTGAAACTGGTAGAAAAAAATATCTTAATTTGATAACAATCTTCTCTTTTTTTTTGTATAATATTTCTTTATTGTTTCTATATATAACAATACAAACATATAAACATGTAAACATCCTGTTAAAAGACTCGCCCAGGGAGAAATCCAATCAGAAACAGAAGAGAAAGTTATATATAACTTATTCCTAAAACAGCCACCATAAATTTCCCTTCCTATTGGTATTAAAACCATTCTTCCCCCCCTAGGGGTCTCAACTAAAATAAAAAAACGCAAGGAAAACGACAACCCAAAATCCCTCCCATGCCTAAACCACCCAAAAAAACAAAAAAAACCAACAAAAAAAAAAACCACAAGAAAAACAAAACAAAACATTGCTTGAATCTTCTCTTTTTTTTTTTACTATTTATTATCTAAAATAATAAAACTCCATTTGCTATTGAAAAAATTGGTATGTACCATGTATTATGAATCAGTTAGGGACTTAACAACAATCTGAGTGGAGCAGGTCTGGTTAATGAATGCTTATACTGTTGTTAAAACAGTCATGTAGTAAACTATGTTTATGCTTAGCTATGGTACTTTATACTTAGCTTTGCATGCACAACAAGATTTGTAGAGTGAGGCTAGGTTCACACCGCAGTGACACCCGGTACGTGTGATCGTGTGCTAGTGCACACAGCGGTTGCCGTGCAGTCCAATTGAGTTCAATGGGGTGACATCCGCGCGGCAATCGCTAAAAAAAAGTACAAGTACCTTTTTTTTGCGACACGCAGCTTTTTTTAGAAAATAATGGCACCCACACTGCGATCGGCAGCGATGCGACTTTTGTGCACGGTCAGGAGTCGTCCAGGTGTGAACCTAACCTGAAGGCCCTGCTGCGGGTAGTTGCACTTTCAGGCTAGGTTTACACCTGGGCGAACTGTGACCGCCTGCCAATTGTGCAGGAAACCGTGCGGATGGCCGCACGGTCAAGGAATTGCCCAGCACTGCCAATCGCGCTGGCGGTGCGATTATTTTCTAACGGAACCCCAGTTGCGCCGGGTAGATTGTGTAGTTTCCTGCCGTGATACCGCCCGTACCTTTTTTTAGCGATTGCTGCGCTGATGTAACCCCCTTGAAATCAATGGGCCCGTGCAGTAATCGCTGTGTGCAATTGTGCACGATCGCACGGTCACATTATCACCCTGATGAAGGGACCCTGTGTGGTCCCGAAACGTTGGTTCTTTCGTTTGTGACGTTATGTCCGATTTAAATGGACGTTTACTATTTGAAAACTACTTATTGAGTGCCGGTGATTCCTGTTTTCTAGTGCTGATGTGCACGGTGCCATGCGTGATTGTCACTGCAGGCACCATCATTATAATTTGGGCCGGGAACGCTATAAGGAGTGCAGCGGGACTTTCTATTCTCTTCATATCTGAACCTAGCCTCATACAACAGGGAAATGGTCTTACTCTTAACCCCTCATAAAATATTGAATATATTGCAGCTTACCAGTCCTTAGATGTGATGGCTGCAGTCGTTTCCTTTTTTAAAGGCCTTTTTTACCCTTATTTTTTGCCAGGTGATCCTTACATTACCACTCTTCCTGTCAATGTTTACCATTCTACTGAATAAATGTAGGGACAGTCAGGGGCGCCCTGAGGCCCGGTGTCACCCAGAGCGGAGACCGGGTCACACCCCGCCATGACATCATCGCGCATGTGCGGCCATCTTATTTACACCTGCCGGCTTGTGTACGCAGGCAGAGAGGACGCAGGCAGAGAGAAGAGGGGATGTTCACCCGGCGGGATGAAGTATGCCGCTGGGTCCCCTCCTCTCTCCTGACACCGTCTGGACTCTCGGTCCATGAGTGTCCATGAGAATGACTGTCAGTCATTTTGGTGTCACCCCTCCAATTGTGTCACCCGGGTGCGGGTCGCACCCCCTGCACCCTCCTTGTGATGCCACTGGGGACAGTGTTGCCATCCTAAGCTGATCTTTTAATTGGGCTGCAAACACCTGCCTCTTTCCTCATCTCTGTTACATATGGAGGTTGGGTTTTGTAGATTACAGAAGATAACTTGGAGAGCTGATAACAGTGTTTGAGATTTCAGTTCAATGCACAGCAAGTTACAAGGATATTGGATTTGTATCTGGATCAACAGGTGTTTACTGCACTTGCAGAAAATTTACCTAGGCTGAAAAAAAAAAATGTATGCAGCCACTACATCTAAGGACTGGTGAGCTGCATTGCATTACATTTTCGTTGTTGAGTTTAGATAAATGTGATAGTGCCTTTGCCTTATATGTAACCTTGGCTAAAATGAAGGGTGAGCAACGGATTTTTGTAGTCATCAGCCAATTCTATTTATTCAAATGCTTTTACATGAAAAATCAGTGATATTAACTGCCCGCTTACTAGTTAAAGGTTAAATATGCAGCACACAAACTCAAAGTTCAAAATGTTTGTGTGAGGTTTAGACTTTCTTTTACAGGTGAAATCCACATTTTCCTGAAGATCTTACTATGTTGTATACTGAATTCATAGCGGGATGGATTTCAGGTAATATCTTAAATTGCACAATTCTTCATGTCCCTGTGTGTATGTGTTTATGTAGGAACTACAAATAGCAAAGGTCTTTATATTTATTGGTAGTTTACCTTTGTATTCTTTGGAAATATCAGTCTCTGCTATAGAGATAATTGCATTAATGTAGTACAAAGTGCAGGTAGGAAGGCTTTAGTCAATACTCCCTGAGAAGTATGTACAAATGTCTCTTCCCAAAATAAGCAAGGACTTCTGGGAAAATACCATTTTGCACACACATTTTCCAGGGAGCATAAGTTTTCCTACCTGTAAAATGTTCACCAGTCATTTTTGTGAAGCTTATACTAAGCATACTTGTGGAATCTTTTGACTACAGCCCCGATGCTGGCGACGTACACTGTACGTCGTCAGTCACGAAGGGGTTAATACTGTCAATGTATATTTCGTGTGTAATATTCTTACAGTACAATAAACTTCCTACGAATGAACCCTGACACAAGTATTTATTTTACCTGAAAGTAGTGGGTCTCTCAAAAGCTGGTCTAGAAAACCCAACTGTTTATGCTAATATACATTTTTAAATGGCAGGCCCACAAGTGAATACCCAATTAGTGGGGTGTTAACCCATTTCTGCCCATAAGCTGTGTAAATAAACATCCCCAAGCAAACTGGGGACATTTATAATTGCCCTTGCAGTTGCTTGCTCTCAGTCCCAGTTGAGTTCCCACCAGCAGGCCTCTGTGGCATCTAAAAAACAGGAGAAGAATGCTGTAAACCAGGGGTCTCAAACTTAATTTAGTCGTGGCCCACTGAACAATTTTTTTATTCCCGTGGGGGGCGCTTCTATATACGGTACCAGTGTTAATGTACACATGTTAGAAGCGGCAACTGTCACCGCTTCAAATTAATGATCGGGTGACAGCTGCTGCATGTAAACACCTGCACACCGCATGTAATCATATGTGATATGATTACATGCAATTAGGAATAAATCACTATCCCTGGATACACATTTGTGTATCCAGGGATAGTGATTGTTTTTGTAACTGCATGTAATCATATCACATACGATTACATGCGGTATGCAGGTGTGTACATGCAGCGGCTGTCACTTGATCATTAACTTGAATGGGTGACAGTTGCTGCATGTAAACGCCAGATTAGGGATTCCTGCTGCAGGACAACGCAAGTTTGTGACACACGATTTCCTAATCGCACCTGAAATAAAGGGGACTCCTCCCCCATTCCAATCCCCCCCCCACACACATAATAATACACTCCCCCCATTCTGTGTGCTCGACTTGTCAGCTGGCTGCAGGCCACATAGTACCGGCTCACGGGCCGGAGTAGGTCCGCGGGCCGGTACTTTGAGACCGCTGCTGTAAACTGTATGATAGGTGCTGACCGCCACAGACAGATGCAGCCGCTGTCACCCTGTAATTAACTGGAATAGGCACAGCACCTGCATCTGAATGGGCACATCTGGGATTCCTGCTGCAAGAATCCTGCTATAGATTATTGCTACAAATCGCTAGTGAGACATTGACCTAACTAAGGGCTGGTTCACACCACAAAGTCCGTGTTCCAGTGCGTTCGGCCTGGAACACAAGCCGGTCGGCTCCCTGCATTCAGGGGCAGGAGGGGCGTGGTGGTACATTGAGGTCAATGGCACCGTAGCCACGCCTCCTGCCCGCAGTGCAATCGCCTGTACCCGGAACACAGGCGCATCAGTCACATTAGAGCCTGCGTTCCGGTCCAGTGCGATCTGCAAAAATAGTGTTTGTAGTATTTTTGCAGATCGCACTGGACTGGAACGCAGGCACTGATGTGCCTGCGTTCCATTTGCGGCGATCGCAGTGAGGTCGGGGGGTGCCGCGTCTACTGTACCATTGACTTTAATGCACTGCCATGCCGGCTTGCGTTGCAGTGCGTTCCAGAGGTCGAACGCTCTGGAACGCAGCCTTTGTGGTGTGAACTGGCCCTTAATCAACCATACCAGATTTTGGCAGTACATTCACACATGTGAATAAGGTGGTGCTGTTCAAAGCAATGCTAGTGCAACTGTTTGTAACAATTTGCATGTAATTGTACATGCTGCAATTACCTGCAGATGATGACCCCAGACGCAGACAGTACAAACTCATGTGAACAACCAGAAACAGGAGCTGTTCTGGAGCAATTCATGTGCCCATACTATCGGCCCCATTTGTGAGTGTGAATGGGACCTTACCAGCTGATATTTAGTGTCATTCAAATGTGATTGCTTATGTATCCCAATCCCACTTCTTAGAAATGAATGCACTTTGGAAAAAAATCTCCAATTCAGATCACTATCCAAATCAGCTATGCTGTCCTAGATTGTTCACTTCTCCTGCCTTCTCCAAACTCTTCACCCTTTTTGTGAAAAACCCTGTAAATAAATAAATAAATAAATAAATAAATCGAGCCCTTCTGCATTAACTCCATCCAGTCTCTATTTCTTTCTTAGGAGCTCTTGGGCTGGTTGTTGGACATCCAGTAGACACAGTTAAGGTGAAGAACCCAGGTCTGATGACAAGTAAAATGAAGGAGTCAGGTCCCAAAAAATAAGCTTTTACTTTTGACTAATAAAAAAAATATTTGTGCATATATATATATATCTTTTTATTCTGATATTCCAAGATACTATAAGCACTGTTGTCATGTTTTAGGTGCGTATACAGACCCAGTCTAGGTACCATGGAATTGTAGACTGCATAGTGAAAACTTACCAGAAAGAAAAGGTGAGTGTTGTACAGCTGAGCTGAAATTGTTGTGTCAAGCAATATTTTCTGTGGGACATAGAGTTAGGTGATATAGACTAGAGCAGGGGTTGTTTGTCCTGCACAGAGGATTGGTACATACTACTGACATGTACCGATCCTCTGCCGCTCGGCCACGCACAAATGGGCTCAGCTTCTCCTCTGCATCCCCCCTGCTCTCCCGGGCAGAGGCAGCGGGGGATCCGACGAGAAGTGAAAGAGCACTTCAGCCGCGGGGGGGGGCGTCTGCGGAGCCGCTGTGACAGAACTAAGGACGAGCAGGGAGGGGAGAGAGAGGCGTCGGCTGTCAAATCTTGGCCGAGCGTCTCTCTCTCTCCTCACCGCTCTTCATTAGTTCTGTGACAGCGGCTCCGTCCTCCGCCCTCCCCCGCCGCCGGTTCCTTCACTTCTTCTCGGAACCCCGCTGGGGAGAGCGGCGGGAGGAGAGGACATGGCGATCTACCAGTGATCGCTACGCGATCGACTGGTAGATCGCGATCGACCTTGTGGGCACCCCGGGACTAGAGTGTTTGGAATTTGTAAAAATTGTACATCTGTCCATTTTGGGCACAGGAAGTGCAGCAGAATATTGCCAATGGGGACTACCTCTTTGTAGAATGAATGTTGTTCAGAAAATTTTAGTAGTACTGAAGGTAGTACTTTTTTTTAAGTTTTGGGTATAGTAAGGGAGGGATATATAACCCCTGACAGTTTTTTTTTTTGCCATCTGTGTTCCATTGGGGAGAGTTCCCTTAACTTCTTGTCTGATAGCCACAACAGGAAGTAAGAGGAAATATGTTCAAAGGTAGGGAAATCCCAGGTGGTCAGTAGGGTCATCAGAACTAGTGTCCCCATTGGACAATTTGCCAACTCCTCCTTTTCGGATGACAACCCAAAATTAGGGATCTTCTTTCATATGATTTTTAGGGATAACGAGGCAGGACAGACAGAGAGAGTGAATCTCCTTAACGGGGACACAGACAGCAATAAAAACCTGACAGGTGCCTCTCCTCTCCATCCAAAACCCAAAAATAAAGTTTTGGCTTCAGTTGCACTTAAGTTTTTTTAGGCGTTGCAAGATACATTTTGCATAAGAAAAATGCTCCCCCCCCCGCCCCCCACCATGGGGTGGCGAGTGCCCTTGCCCGCACGCAGCCTCATTGGAAGCCAGGTCACACATTTAGGAAGACTGCAGGTCAGTTAGTGCCTAAGTATCATGGGAGTTCATGCCTGTATAGATGTCAACTTACCGATAGGTGAGCAATAGGGAAGTGGGATGGGAATGCAGAAAACATAAGGTATTAAATAAATACAAAATTTTAATTGTATGTGATTGTGTAACAGGGCGGGGAGAGGAAGTGATGTTCTGTTCTTTATTGATATTGATTTTGGCCTATTTGTTTATACTTATTTTTGTTCACATTTAGGCTTTGGGGTTCTTTAAAGGCATGAGTTTTCCAGTGGGCAGCGTGGCAATAAGCAATTCCCTGTTATTTGGATCTTATAGTAATGCCCTATACTATTTAACTGACACAACATGTAAAGACTGGAAGAATCCACCAGCAAATCACTATGTGTTTGTGGCTGGGTGCTTCTCAGGCCTAGTACAGGTAAGTTTATTGTAATCAATGTGTTCTTGTGGCACATTTTATAGACATTTTAGGAGTAAATGTTCATTCCAAAATTGTTCTGTGATTGGATATTTAAAGGATTAATCTATATTTTAGAAATGTTAGCTTTAAATTTTTTAAGTAGACTTGCAAGATACGCAGCAAAGTAGAATTGCCATTGGATAGTCTGCACCGTATGATTACATTTGTCTGTGTCTGCCCATCTGCCACCGGTGCCCCCAGAACACCTAGACTTCTTAGTATGGATCAAACATGCATGCTTCCTCCTCCATACTACAGTGCAGCTCTCTGTTCCCAAACAACCTATTGCCAAGCCTATGCACTGTTAACTGAATGGGAGAACATACCTAGCCCTTTCAGAATGATATTTGCATGGAATTATCAGGAGGCTCCTGGTGTCCATCAGATAGGCAGGCAGGCAGCCATTGTAAAGTTAAGATGGCACTGTAGGGTGTCTTCTAATCATCTGCAGCATTCTTTTTCTTTTGTATTACGTTGCAGGTTTGCTGTTGTATTTGTAGCACCTTTTTTTGTAACTGCAGGTGGTACACAAGGTGCAACTATTCTAAAGCCCAAGATATTGCTCCTCAGCCTCCTGATATGACTGAGCAGAGAGCCGCATCAGCTGTGGCCGCAGGCACCAGTCTCACTCACTGACCACCTGGAGCCCGCACTGACTACCTGGAGCCCATACTGACAACCTGAAACCCCCTACTGACCACCTGGAGCCTGCACAGACCACCTGAAGCCCTCACTGATCACCTGGAGCCCGCAATGACCACCTGAGACCCCGCAATGACCACCTGAGACCCCATACTTACCACCTGGAGCCCGCACTGACCACCTGGAGCCCTCACAGCCCCCTGATATGCCTGACCAGAGAGCCGCATCTGCTGTGGCCGCAGCTGCCAGTCTCACTCACTGACCACCTGAGAGCCCATACTGACCACCTGGAGCCCATACTGACCACCTGGAGCCGGCACTGACCACCTAGAGCCTGCACTTACCACCTGGAGCCCTCCCTGATTACCTGAGAGCCTGCACTGAACACCTGGAGCCCTCACTGAGCACCGGAGAGGCCACATTGACCACCTGCAAGGTCGCACTGACCACCTGAGAGCCCATCCTGATGACCTGGAATTTTCACTGACCATCTGGGGCCCGCATTGACCACCTGGAGCCTACACTGACCACCTGAGATACCATATTGACCACCTGAAGGCCGCACTGACCACCTGAGAAGCCGCACTGACCACCTGGGGCTCACATTGACTACCGGGGGCCCACACTGACTACCTGAAGCCCGCATTGACCACCTGAGAGCCCTCACTGATCACCTGAGAGCTCTCACTGAGTGCCTGAGAGGCCGCACTGAGCGCCTGAGAGCCCATACTGGCCCCCTGACAGTCCGCACTGACCACCTGAGAGCCCTCAATGACCACCTGAGAGCCCTCAATGACCACCTGAGAGGCCGCACTGACCACCTGAGAGCCTGAACTGACCACCAGAGAGCCCGTCTGAGAGCCCACGCTGGCCCCCTGAGAGCCTGCACTGGCTCCCCCTAAACCCCGCACAGCTCTCCTGAGACCCTGGAGACATTAGGCCGCGAACCCAGAGCAACACAGAGTATGTAGTTGCATATTATTCTGCAGTGCTTTACAATGTATTTCTAGTCCACTATAGCTGATGGTATTTTTCTGCAGTGTTTTACAATGTATTGCTGGGATTTGTAGTCCTCCCTAGCTGATGGTATTTTTCTGCAGTGCTTTACAATGTATTGCTGGGATTTGTAGTCTCTCTTCAGTTTGCTCAGGTGAGATTTGAAAATGAGAGAGAGATGCTGATTGGCTGCAGTGCAAATCTGCTCCAGATTTTGTCTGCTCCAGTTTTGATAAATTCCCCCCCTTAATGTTGTTGCTTAATTCATCCAAAAAGAAGGTGAATTCATATAAGTTAGCTTATGTTCCCGGTTGGATTTTTCCATTATGGCGATTGCAGCAGAAGTAATAAGACAGGTGGTGGATAGACATGTGCATGGCCTGCGGCCGATATGGCCACCGCTCGTTCAGCGTGTGACGTCACACTGAAAATGCAGAGCAAGCGGCAGCCATGTTCCGCACTTGTTCTTTGAGTGTATCTTGGTATACACCAAGATGGCGGCGCCCATTATGCAAACTAATTTATGTATGCCCGAATATAGTTTTCGTATATTATGCATATAATCAATTTGTTATTTCGGATTCGGACAAACTGCCTTATCTACTGAATTTAGTTGATTTGCAGGTTCGTCCGAATCCGAATGCACATGTCTAGTGGTGGAGTGGTGATGAAGGTGCCATGCCAGGAACTTCAGCAGGGAGATGTTGCCACTGGAGTCCCCGAGAGATGTAGGATCCTAGTAGGTTCTGAGGCCCATCTTCAACGCATAACTGAGATATTATTTTTGGGTGGACTGCATTTTTAACTATGTACAGAGATAGTAGACAAAAAACAAACTTTCTAGGTAAGAAATAGAAAAGCTAGGAATACCCTCAATGTGACCGAGGCATATGCTTTTAGAAGGTAAAGTCACACGTTCACACAACCAATGTACATTCACATAACCAATCAATTTCTCAGATTTAGTAGATTTTTTTTTTAAATGTTATATTAATGCCGCAAATCAATCATGACTAAGCAAATGTGTTAACTTATTCACATGCAGGTATATTTCACAGCTCCAGTGGATTTGATAAAAGTAAGGTTGCAGAACCAGACTGATACATTGCAGAGCCATAAAACAGGAAGCAATATCCAGGCTAAATACCGTGGCCCAGTATACTGTGCTGCAAGCATATTCAGAGAGGAAGGCATCACTGGTCTCTACAGAGGGTCTACTGCATTGGTTCTGCGTGATGTACCTACGGTTGGAATCTATTTCTTGACTTATGAAGTACTTAGCAAATGGATGACAAGCAATGGAGAAATGCCAAGTTAGTATGGATGTTTTCAATCACCAAAAGGAGTCATAGGTCAGTGATGGCAAACCTTTTTGAGTGCCCAAACTGGATCACTAAAACAACTTATGTGTCTCAAAGTGCCAGCCCTGCAATTAGACCTAAATACTGATGATTTATTTTAGAAAAATACTTCATACAACTGTCTGAACTAATTATGTGCCTAAATCTTAGAAGAAAAATACAATACAAGGGGTTTTAACTACACTACAGAGTGACATGTACCTTTGTACTGTGATAATGAGTGAAGTGTTCCATTGCAGTGTCCTACTAAAGTACATGTCACGCAGCAAACTGCAAGGGAACCGTCTCTCTACAGCTTGGAGTCAGTGGTGGAGCACCAGGGCCCAGATGCGACTGCTATGACCCTGATAGTTCTGAACTAATCTCAGCAATACATTATACAACAATGCAGAATACCGCCAACTATAGATTACTAGATATCCCAGCAATACATTATACAGCAATGCACAATACCAACTATAGAGGACTACATATCCCAGCAATACATTATACAGTAATGCAGAATACCGTCATCTATAGAGGACTACAAATCCCACCAACACATTATACAATAATGCAGAATACTAGACATGTGCATGGCATAAAAATTTGTTTTGGACTAAACAAATGAAAACTAAAAACATTTTCATTTGTTTCGACAAAGGAAAAAAATGTTAATGCCGTTTCAGATTTGGAAGCAACGAGCCTCCGAATCCAAAACCGCACAATAAACTGCAGAAGGAGCAGCGGCCATATTGGAGATATTGCAGAATACCACCTATCAGCTATAGAGGACTGCAAATTCCCAGCAATACATTATACAGCAATGCAGAATAATATGAAGCTGCATACTCTGTGTTGCTCCCGGGTGGAGGCCTGATGTCTCCAGGGTCTCTGGAGGGCTATGTGGGCTCTCTGGTGAGCTGTGCAGGCTCTCAGGGGCACTGTGTGTGGGCTCTCAGGGGCACTGTGAAGTTCTCAGATGGGCTCTGCTGGCCCTCAGGTGGGCTGTATGGGCTCTCTGGTGGGCTGTATAGGCTTTCAGGTGGACTGAATGGGCTCTCAGGGGGGCTGTGTGGCTCTTAGGGGGGCTGTGTGGATCTCAGGATGGCTGTGTGGCTCTCAGG